TTTATTTAATTTCTATTTTTAAGCTTATTTATGTATTTAATTATTATTTCAATTCACTATTAAATTTTATTTTACTTCTAATTTTCTTGTAAATTTTTTTTTTTAATTTTTTGATTTTTTTTTTCTTTACACTCCGCACCTTGCACTCCGCGTTTTCGGAACAGCCCTGTTACATTGACTTACATGATAATGTGTCGGAAAAGCTAGCTCAGTTTTACTTGTCACATTCAAATACACCTGTGGCCACATCGTACTGAAACGCGTAAACTCAAAAGACAAATAGTTATCGACAATACTTTTAATGACCCCCACAGGAAGAGATCAGTTTCAACGTGGTTCTGCATACGAGAGCCCCTATACGGGGTTTTAAGGACACGAGATATTTAGGTATTAACGGGATACAGGATATTTGCCCCTGGGGAGGGACTCCCTTATAAAAAGGACGGGGCTGCTTGTCGGAAATTTGAAAAGAAACCCTAAGAGGTACCAAGATTATGTTTTGTGGGCGTGGCTTGAAAATTTGTTACCCCTAAGAGGTACAAATTCTTTAGCAACACAATAACTGACCGGCTGACTTTTTTGGTTCAATACCCTTAAAGATACCGTGAAAGCTCCCGCTGTGGACTGTTTAAGCCTGAACACCCTAAGAGGTACTAAATCGGGTTTATTAACCCATAAAAACGGTACTACAAAGCACCCCTGAACTTTTTATATGAGAGTTTTCCCCCGGGGAAATTTTGATATGGGATTTTTAGATCAGGTAAAACGGGATATCGAGCAAGAAAATACATTGTTAATTTTTGCTACAGGAATGAACGGGATACTGAATATTTAAACCAACGTTTATTGGATGAGGGATACTCTGCAAAACCCTYTTCGACGCGGAATACCAAGTTCTGTCTCCACTTCGTTAGAAGATTAGAAGAGTATCCTGCCAAAATAATGAAGTTTCTACGTGTAGGTCAGCTTTTTTTTAAAGTTGAACAGTGAATATATCCTTCTGACAAAGACACAAAATAAATGAAATAAAATTCATTTCTTACCGTGCGTGGGTGTTAGTATTTGCGCGTGAGCGTTAATATTTGCGCGTGAGCTAGACGCCCGCGAATGCACGTAAATTCTGAGACCGCGTTACACGCAACTAGCCTGCGGTTTTATAGCATAATTTAAAATGGCGGCC